GTAACTCCATGTCTCGTTCATTCACCAGCTCCCGCTCCATCAAGCGAAGACGCTCACGCTCGCGCTCCAGTGACTGCTCACGATATCTCAGGTGCCGGCTGCGGCTTCGCTCGAAGGTAGATTGACGCTCTCGAACACAGCTGCGGCTTCGCCTTGGACTGTGCCACGACCCGTCTCTTGGAGGGGTATCAAGGCGCCGCTCATTGGCGTCAGACGCAGTTTTCTTATCCATACCCGGAACACGATAATCCCACTTCTGAGTTGTAAGGATGCCGCCACAAATGATAATGCCTTTGTAGGTTTTAGACTCAATATATTATATTAACCAACTTTAGTTAAACACACGGAATTACAACGGAGAGCAATTGCCTCTATGATAGACGCACGAAGACTGTCCCGTCAGCCAAGTGACCGCCCTTTTTATTCACGACGTGGAACTTAGTGTTGCCACCTTATAATTTTACTTTTACTCAAAATAATGCCAGTCGTGGCTGTATGAAACTACGATAATTAATCGATACTTTACGGAATTCAACTTTTTAAAAGGAAACCTTACAATTCATCATGTTGTGAGTAGAAATAAATAAATATATTATTATTAATACACTATTAAAAAAAACCTTGTCTCTACGACCAAAAGTGTAGGCGTGCGTTGACGCACTATTTGTAACTTTGATATGCTATATCTCTGTTTTATGAGGGTAATTTTATAAATTAAAACACAGATAGCATTTTAATTTAATACAGTGTAGGTGTGCAAAATTTTAATTAATTCTATGCACTTTTGGATGATCCCATACAAACTTTGACACGAAATTTTGTAATTTATTAGGGTAGTTGTAAAAATTTTATGTAACAGGCTTATTGTACATCTATTAAATAATGTTTATGCAAAATTTGCAGTCAACAGGTCCAAGGTATATTACGAACAAACGTTTTTTTATAAATTTCATATTCTCAATATCAATCGTAATAATAGCAACGCACTATCTAAATTTCATCATTCTAGGTCCAGCCGTTTCGGCTGTGCGTTGATGTGTCAATCAGTCATTCAGTCTGTCAGTGTATCCCTTTCTCTCTTTTTATAATACATAGTATAGATATATTAAGGCCACGGTCATCTCGGTTTGGAACCATAACGTTAGTGCATTCATCCCGAAAATGAAGAGTTTTACTTTAATTCTAACCTAATATCTATTAACAGAACCATATTGAATATTTCTAGTAAACATTTTTAGGTAGAAAATCCTATTAGATAAATCCTTTATTCCTGACACAATCGTTTGATTCAAAGTTACTGGGAAAATATTGTGATCTTAACATATTTGGCTCAAGCTTTAGCAAATCTAAATAATAGGGACAAAAACAGGTAGAGCGTAGCTGATTTTCCGCTCGAATTAATGTGCCCGTCTGGGGGAGTAACCTCTATCTGGCGCAGGGCAATACAAATACTTGTTAGTAATATTGTGATTTTATTGACAAACAACGTTCAGGACTCTAAGACGTAGGTGATTGGGTAAATATGAAGAAAATGAATAAAGAAAACGGTTGCGGCCTTAGTCACATCGTTATGTGCATGAATCTCCTTCTTCATCAGCCTATTAATGTCCCCACTGCTGGGGCACAGGCCTTTCGTATGGATGGAATAGGGAGATAAGGCCACGACTTTCCACGCGGGCCCAGTGCGGATTGCCGGGTGCTAACGACTGCAGATGCAGCCGGGACCAACGGCTTAACGTGCCTTCCGAAGCATGGAGGAACTCGAGATAGAATATTTTTGGTCACCCATCCAATGACCGACCGTTTCGAAAATTGCTTAGCTAAAACGATCGCAGCTGAATGCGCTAACCACTCGCGCCATCGAGCTCCTCCATTTGATTTTTTTTATCGATGTCCATTTTTGAATCTACGGCCACCTGACAACCATACCACTTCCAGCCGCTGCTTATCCATGTTCATCACACACTCTCTCTCCCTCCACTACTACATTTCATCACCTATTATTTTTGTTAATTATACTATATTTAAATCTAAAGAAATTACATCAGTTACATGCTTTCAAAATAATAAAAATTATAACTATTATACTATATTTTCAACCTTGCTTTCATTTATAGTTTTTTATAAAAGTACGTATGTAGGTACTTATAACAGTTTATAAATTCTGTACCTTCACTTTCCCCCAATCCCTTCTCAGACTTTTTTGTTTATCTGTAGTTTTGTTTTCACTATACGAACGACCCCAGCATCGGTGACCAAAATTTATTATCACGAGCTCCTTCATGCTTCGAAAATCACTTTAAGTGGATTTATTGCCCGCTTCATTTAGTTTTTTTAAATATACCTATCAATCGCACTGGGCCAGCACTTAAGATGTGCAAACAATATTACGCCGATGATGATGTTCATAATAATTTTGGTTATCTGTGAAATAGATTACGTAATTAAACTGTATATACCTAGTCAGGTCATAAATTCTGTCACACGTTTAATATAAAATAATTAAAACAAGTTTATTCATTATGTAACCTAAAAATAAAATTATATACCAAAATGAACTTAACAAAACATAGATTCTTATGACAATAAAGTTTATTCAAAATGACCTCCTTGATTTTGAATACAGGCCTTCAATCTGCGCGGCCAGTCGTCTATCGATGCACGAACGAGGTCCATGTCAATATCGGCGGCTACCTTAATCAAGGATGCTTGAGTGACTTCAAATTGGGATAAGGCTTTGAGCACGCCTTTTCCTCCAAGTATTGCCATATCTTGTAATCTAACGGACTCAAATCTGGACTGGAGGAGGGCCAGTCTTCGTGCCGGATGAGATTTCTCTCAGATTTTCTCAGTCTTGTGTGCTCTTCGCTCTATGAGCTGGCGCTGAATCTTGTTGGAATACCCAGTGTCTGTTATTGAACATGGTATGAGAAACAGCTTCCACAAGGTTTGTCAGGACTGTATTTTGATACACAACTGAAGAAAGAAAGAAAGAAAGAAAGAAAGAAAGAAAGAAATTTTTTATTGACCATAAAAAAAAAAAAAATACAAATAAAAAGCACAGATAACAAACAGGTCAACTAGGTCCCTGCCTCAGCACTGCATTCGTTTTTACACCTTTCCTTCAAAAATGTACCTCTGTTAAGCCCCAATAAGAAACTCCCAACCATACCTTGAGCGAGGATGGAAAATGACCTCGTTGGACACGCGGAATACGGTTGCTCGTTTCTTCACTACTGTGTGCGTACACCTTATCATTTTGTTTGTTGTAGCTCTCTTCTACGGTATTTTTTTTTTATCCGAAAAAAGAATTCCCCGAAATTTTTTCCCGCGTACCGCTTCAACAAAGTGCGGCATCTCTTCAGTCTCAGGTCCATTAGATGAGCATTCAAACGATGTCCTGTTTTTTTTCGATATGCCCGAAGCCATAAGTCTTCATTTAACACCCTTTTTACCGTGGTTCTGCTTAACCCCATCTGAAGGGCCAACAGTTTCTGCTTACGTTTGGGATTTCTTTGAACTCCCGCCTTCACAGCTTTTATCACTGCTGGAGTCCTAACAGACCGAGAGCGACCACTTCTTGACCTGTCATCTACACTAGATTCTTCATTGTATCGTTTGATGGTACGATAAACGAATCTTTTGGGTATATTCAAAATTTTCAATATGTCAAAAATTTGAATTGACGCGTAACCGCAACGATGCAACGCAATAACTGCAACACGGTCTTCTTTAAGCGTCCACTCCATATTTAAAAATGAGTAAAATTCTAAAAAGTATACATTTTTATTTTCATGAACAATTCGAAATTCGAATTCAATAAACTTTTTTGTGGCCAGCATTCTAAAAGAAAACTTTTTTACTGTGTGTCAATGCTTATGACCTGACTGTGTATAAACATAAACTAAGGGACGGGACTCTAGATTAAAGTTAGACTGCATAATTTTCGTTGTTGAATCAGAAATAAAATAATGCATAAATTTAATCTTAATTAGGGGAAAATGTAGAGTTTGGTATAATACCAAACTCTACATTATACGATGGTTGTTATATACCACCAACTTGGGAACCCATTACACAACAGATAAAATCCTAATCCCGAGCAAGCATTAGTTCTTTTTGTTTGCAAGATTTAACATAAGAAGGAGATAGAAAGCCTCTCTGAGTTTGTTTCGCCCGTTCTTCTTAGAAAGGTCTCCCAATTTTGGAACCGGGAAAATTATAAAATAGAATTAGTAAAAGTACTTTATTAATTAAATGAACTAATTAATTCATGCATAGACAATAGAGTACTAATAATCTTCCATTGAAATATCCGAACGCTCAATTAAAGTCTTTCGAAGGCAGATCGACAAAGTAAATAATAAAAATAAAAAAACATTATTCCGACGACGCATTCCTGCGACACGTCAATAAATAAATAAAAACAGGGCATCTAACCCCTTGAAACTTGTTTTATTTTATGAAATAAATCTTTATTAAAGGAAAGTCTACTAGAGCGTTTAGGCAAAGTAGGCTATGAAGAACTTTATCAGCAAGTGGTGGATTGAGCCCTTAGTGATTTATTTACTTACGAGTATGACAAGTTCGTGGAGGGAACAGCTTCCCTGCATCTACTTAGATTCAATGCAATGGCTCCATCGTACTTGCAGCTTGCTATCTTCTTTGAACTTATGGCGACTACTGCATATAAATGCCATCCCCTTTGTTTTTGATGTTTTGCCTGTTTCGAGAAGCAAAACCTTTCCTAACTTTAAGTGCAATTAGGAATATCTTTTGATTTCAAAATATGACCCATGTTAACTTCTAATACAAGTTATAAATAGTCAAAGTCACTAGATGATACTAATCAGATTTTAAAATACAAGAAAATCGGAGTTTTCTCATGAATCTTTCTTACAAATTCTGTCGCCAATATCTCTACCAAACTATTCCAAGAAAAACATTAAGAAACTTATCGTATAAAATGTATAAAGATTAATAATAAAGGTCAGGTAGCAAACGGTCATGTGTTATCTTTGTAAACTTATATTTTAGTCAAGCACTCAGTTTAGTGAGAGAAAATCAGACGTGTTTATTGTAAGATTGAAAATGCGGTTTCTCTTTGCATTTATATTGTGCTGTGCAATTTTCATAATTAAATATGAATCAATACAAGGACAATTAATAAAAGATTTTTTTGGGGGAATACACAAAACGGCTGAGAATGTGAGGCACGACATTAGAAAGGTGATACGACATGAAAGTAAAAATGTCGAAACGACAGATAACACTGCAATTATTTTCTTCGATGATGATGATGACGATTCAAGACCATTTCAATTTACCCCTTTGAGCGCAAGTACGACGAGAAAGCCGGGGTATAGTTTGACACCATCTCAAATGACTACAAAAAAACAGGATCCTATTAATGAAAATCCAAAAACTATGAAGACTGATATCATAACTACAAGCACTACAAGCAAACCAGGAAACACAGCTGATTCTATTACATTTGTTACTGAAAAAGTTCCAGATTCAACTTCAAATAATGGCACGGATAGTGGAAAAGAGAATTTTACTGGGGGCTGTCTCCCTGGCTATCTACGTTCTCCTGATGGAAGGTGTATGCCTACGTACTAGACCGAAAACGATTACAAATATATTATTAAATATCATTGCCAGGTTTAAGGTTTTTCTGTTGCTTTTTCAAATACATGATGGATTGAATAACAGACATTTATATTGTTGTTATTTTAAACCAGTTTACCAAAGGTGCCGTTTAGATTGGGGGTCGCTTTTCACTTTAGTAAGAACATAAGGGATATCTTGTGTACAAGGATTTTATATACCATAACGTAATTATAGCATACTCATGTGGATTGTGTGTGTGTGAATAAAGAGTAAAATAATAAATTGGAGTTTTTAATGTAGTACAAAAAGGTTTAATTCCTATATTTGTAAGCATCGCATGAGTAAGAATAGCATTCACATAAAATTTAAAAATAAGTTACTTATTCTATTGCTATTCTCACGAAAACATGTTCTTCATATTATTTCCGTTAAGTTTTAATTTTCATTAAATTCATTGCAACGAAAACATTGGCAAACATGTTGAACTTAAAAAAAATGTGCATTTAGCATTTTAATGAAGTGTTTGGTTTATGAAGTGATATTCTTTTGGGCGTGAAGAAAATTAGATTCGCAGTGACGAACTTTAAAGAATTGGTCAATAAATTATGAATTTCTGTTTTACATTACATATATGGAAATTGTCAACATACAAAATCATTGTTCAGATGTAAATGGCCAAAAGAAAAACTAATCAGTTGTATGAAATAACAAAAAAAACACATCCTTGGTACTTCATCATACAACCAGCTCAGTCGCCGATAGTCAATTGCAACAGAATAAAATAGTAACAAATAGTAGTTTAGGCATTTTATATTTTCTTCACGTTTTAGCATAATAGCAAACGGAGTGACGGAAGTAAGGAACACGAGGTTAATTTTTAATTATACATAAATAGGTTAATATTGATTTTATAATATTAAATTAATATTTATTTGTTAATATTTATTTCCTCTGCAATTCTGGTGCCTTTATTTCGGTGCTCCTGATAGAAGTGATTACACAGCTCCTGGAGTTGATTGTTTGCACCTTTGAAAGTTGCAGCATTATCGCAATAAATAATTGATGGTTTATTTCGTCGGCCTATAAACCTCTTAAAACATTGAAAAAAACATTGAGTCAGTATTAGCTCGATACCAGCTCAATATGAATTGCCTTAATGACAAAACAAATAAAAAGCACAATATTTTATAAGCCTTGTTAATTACTGGTGTTTTAACACGGTGCAGTTTCACAAAGAATGGGGCTCAAAATCTGAAAACAACTTAGAAAAAATATGTTGGATGACATTTCACCAAATTAAGTAAAAAAATATCACATTTCTTATTAAATAATTGCTCGAACAAATCCCAAAAAAAAGTAATCAACTCCAAAATATTACAGGTAAAGAAGATATCTCTATAATCTTAAAAAGCAAATCGTAGCTAAATAGTTAAAATGAAGAAATTAACTCATTCCTACATATATCTTTTAATACATTACTATTGAAATACATGCAAAGTATTTCATTGTGCCTAAGAATAATAGGTAACTAAAGTATTTCGGTCTATATTTTCTACAAATATACATATATACATATTTATTGACGGTAATAACCTAAAGAGAACATAAAATTATTATAAAGAAATAAACAAATTATTATTTTTGTTAAGTATACAATGAAATAAAGTTAAGAGAGGTATATTTTAAAGATGTATATTTATATGATGGATTTTATTAAATTTCTTAATCATTAACAAATAAAAATGGTGGATTTCAAAAATGTAATCTAAGGTTAGTAACCTCCACCTTACAGAATACTACTACCACTTTTAGCGGTGTTGTGTTTCTGTCTGTTAGTAAAGTTCCAGGGCTCCACGGGGTATTTTATTATTGATATAACTAGTAGGACATTACAAAACAGTGAATTCCATCGAAGGGTTAACATTCAGGAGTAACAGCTACCACTTGATATATAGGAACACCATTAATTATGACCACATGTTTATCAACACTTAAAGGATTACTTTGAGTTACTTTATCGATAATAGGCTTCGGAATATTTAAAAGATTGGCATTTTCTGACTCAGCCCTTAGTCCAAATCTATCATCATCATTGTTAGTAGGAATTGGTGGTCGTTGACCATAGACATATGATTCTTCATAGGATGGTACCGTATGAGGTGGCCTGTTAGGAGGAGGTTCTCGATCATGTGGTGGTCCCCTATTCGGCGGTGGTCCTCGATTATCTGGTGGACCCCTGTTTCCACCAGTCCAATCTTCTTGAATAGGGGGTCGATCCCAATTGTATGGAGGTGGTGATGGTTCCATATGAGGAGGTGGTCCGTAAGGAGGAGGTTCTCGATCATATGGTGGTCCCCTGTTCGGCGGTGGTCCTCGATTATCTGGTGGACCTCTGTTTCCACCAGCCCATTCTTCCTGAAACGGGGGTCGATCCCAATTGAATGGTGGTTCCTCGTGAGGTGGTGGTCCCCGATTTTGTGGAGGTCCCCTATTTGGAGGGGGTCCTCTATTAGGAGGAGGACCTCTGTTTGGAGGAGGACCTCTACCTGGAGGCGGTCCTCTGTTCATAGTCGATGGAGGTCCTCTATCTGGTTGTCTCCGGTTTTCTCTTTGACCTCTTTCATATAAATCAGGTGGCGGTCCATAAGGATCTTGGGGTGATCGTTTTTCTGGAATTAAAAGTTGAATACCTTTGAGGAAATACTCATCAATGAGGACAAACATTTTGGTGCATGTTATTGTGATATTTCAAATGTGTTTAAGGGTTTTCATAGTATTCGTTTTTTATTCTCACCTAAACACATTTATTTAATTAATTGATACATTTTTTCACTTTCGAATAACATTGATCCTTCACTATAGTACAATAAAAAATAGTCCATGTCGGAACGTCAATAGCGTAAACCTAATATAAATCAACTCATATATATTCACGTTATATATAATTATAACGACCTCCGAAGTGTAAATGGTAATCTTTACCAGTTTTCAAGGTGTTGCTGACCCGAGGTCCCGAGTTCGAATCTCGTTAGGGCGGTGGATATTCAATGTTTTTATGATAAATACTAGTATTTGTACCAAAGTCATGGCTGTTTATATGTATTTCGATATGGTACTCTATTACACCATTATACAAGCCTTATAGAAGAGATAGGATAATTAGATTGAGTTAAAAAAAACATCATTGGAGCTTATCAGAGCGTTTAACGTGCTAAAGTAAAAAGACAACTATAACTCCGCAAACCCACACTCAAATAAGTCGACCTTGACCTCATTTAGGATTAAAATGTTGTCTGGTAACATAAGTGACAGTTTCCCATTCATTTGCAATGAACATTAACAAGCTTTTACCATATATGCACTGAAAAACAAGCAGTTTGTGCTATCTACATTTCTTACGCTCCCAAAATATTTAAAAGGAAGGTCAAATAGCATTGAATATTTCTATTGTATTCTATGTATGGGACTTTTAAAGAAAACATACCGTTATGCCACATTATTTTATTAAAAAATAGTTAATAATTAAATAGGCTATATTTACTTATGTAAGATATATTATTGTGAAAATTATAGTAGATGAACAACTAAATTTTTAACAGTGTAATACTTACAAAATTTTAAGGGCCACTTGCACCAACATTTGTACATAAAATTAATTACTAATCCTGTTTAACACATCGGTTCATCTTAGTTAATTGTTTAAATTCAAAAAGATATACAGATAAACTCAAACAAAGCTAATATAGTTTTTAAACATTTAAGAACTTTGCTGCAAATGGAACTAGTAGAATGAAAAATATTAAATAAACTGTATCCAGCCAATTCTAAAATGTAACTGATAATCTAGGGAATATTAAATCTAATGTCAATCATAGCTTCTGGACTAGATGGTGAGTAATCTATTACAGTCGAATTATTATTTTCATTAGAGGTAAGGTTTTTTTTCTCATTGTTTACAAGATCACTTTCTTTATTAGACTCCGAGTTATCTGTTTTGCATAACGGGGCCGTAGTTTTCGAGCAATTTTTATTGTCGGATAATAGAGGTAGTCGGGACGGTAAATAATAATTATAACCAGGTGGACTGTGTTGATGACTATCATCAGACAGATTGGGCGAGAAGATTTCGTTATGGTGTTGATGAGGAGGAGATGGGTAAAAATAACTTGTGTCGTGAGTTGGTCTCAGTGATATTTGATTTAAAGTTATAGCGTCAAAACGATGTTTGCCCAAGTTTTTCATATCATAAACTGATTCTTGATCTTCATTGGCATGTTTTAGAGGGGCAGTGTAATATCCATATCTGTCATATAAACTCAATTTAGAGTTACTGGCGTCACTCAAAGATGTAAACGAATCTGCATCCGTTGATTCCACTATCTTCAATTCTATAACTTCAACCTGTATAATTTCGACATTCCGCTTCTCTCTATAAAATTCACGTACATCTTTATAATCTGCAACGTTGACTGGTTGAACTGAAGGTCTCCGTTTAACATTCGAGGATTCACTTTCTGTTAAAAATAAAACCACATAAACCTTCTATGAACTTTAAATAAATTATTTTCATAATATTTTTTTTTTAAGACACTCTTCATTTAATTTTATGTATAGGAATCGTACATTTTGTACTTATTGGGTAAACTTTTAAAGCCGAATATTATGAATTTCCTGTTTTTCGTATTCATATTTCGTATTGAAATTGATATAGTTTCACCCAACAAAGATTCTTATTAAATTTAAAAACACAATTACCTTTTGAACCATGAATAGACACACTGTCCACGAAACACTCCACACAAAGTATTATTATTAAATTTAATATTAACATTTTAGTTCCTTCTTTTTAACGTTACAAACAGCGAACATTCCACTATTCCACTCATTACTAATTTGTTCATTGAAGAAACATATGGACATCTGAACTTTACGCAAAAGGTCGTCTTACCAGTTTTTTTATTAAACTGGTATTAAGGTCAGCGTTCGCCTGATGAGTGGTATGTGCGGTATTTTGCGTTTTCAAAACAAGAAACAATATTTTTTGCGACCTTTTACTTCTTTAGTTATGGTAGGTTATTAAATGATTATGGTATAATATTTTTCGACTTCAAATCATTTGACAAATAAACCAGACGCTTACTTAAACTATTGTTCTTTTTGTTTAAAGTCACTTATGATATCATCATTCATCCATACGACGCCCACAGCTGAGCATAAGCATTCCGCAAAGATCTCCACTAGTTATTTACTAAAGTAAATTTTATTTTAAAATTTCTATTTTTTCTAAAGCTTAATTACCTACCTATTAGATCAAATTTTTATGACATTTACAGTGTTAAACTAAAGAGAAAATTGCGTAGTCATCGCTGCTTTTTAGAACAAGTATCTTAGTGGCGTTATAATAAAGCAGTAGTGGATCACTAAACAGCTCGATGATTATCACTTCCATCTATCAAAAGCAGTTAGCGAATAGGCCTACTGGACTGAGTTGCTGATTTTCTAGTAAAATATTCTTACTTATAGTAATATATCAGTTTGATGCTTAAAATAAAAAGGTAATTTTACTGATTCCACTGCCATTCAAATGAGAATTAAGTAAGAAAAATAGATTCATGGGAATATTTCGACAAATATAAGTTGATGTACACCTTAAGTGAAATGTAAAAGCCACTTATCTAATACAGAGACCGGCGACAATCTCATTCAGTGCGACAAATTGAGAACACCTTCCGCTCGCTACACCGCAGCCGCACTCGCCAGCAAATAGCTATTTATTGTGGCACACTGCTAGACACCTGTCCCTGCCCTGCTGCTGGTTTGCGGTGAAACGGGGAGTTTGTTGAAAAAATTATAATGCCCATACTCCAATATATTGTGAATCTTAAATGGGGCAAGATAAATCTCAAACTCAGAGAACAGTACAAATCGAGTTATCCAAAACAGACTTGAACTGGTTGAAAAAAAAACTGTTCTGAATAACTCGATTTGTACTGTTTAAAGGTGATTTTCGATTCTTTTTGTAATCGTAGATTTACTACATTTTGTGTAAGAGCACACGTTCAGTTCAGAAATTACGCTTGTGAACTTCGTCTCCAATATACTTACATAAAGTTCTAATGTAGAGTATTCCTTAATTAAACATACACTCGTAACTCAATTCGTTTCCGGAGATATAACGGATTACTAGCTTTAAAAATATTAGTGAATTAACCTTTTCATATTCAATTATAACAAACCTTTAATATGTTGAATAAAAAAAAACAACATTTTCGGTAATAACATTAAAAAAAATACCTCAATAGCATACAAAAAATATAAAGAAATTAATTATTTCAAAACTTTTCATTTGGGATTAAAATCTTTAAGAAATAATGTCCTTGCTTGCTGAAATACAAAACAACGTTTTAACTCTTAATAAATTTGAAGCAACAGTTTCAAACTTGCATCTAATTTAGTGCCTTTGCGATCAGAACTGTGCGCTTTGACTGTGAGCTAATTTTGCAACAATTCGAAATCAGGCGGAAAACTATCAGAAGTTACGACTAAATGAACGCCAAGTTTATGGCAGTACCCAAGATCGAGAAGACTTGCTCCGATGTTTCTTCATCAACTTTATCAGAATATAGCACAATGCGGTCGCTACTATGATATCCAAAATTATGACTTATCAAATCTTGAATAAACATTACCATGGTGTATTTGTACTCGTAATACCTTCAACAGATTTTCTACTGTACATACTCTGATCAGACCATGTTATTTAGCTGTTACATTAAATAATTGGATTAAGAAAGTAAAATATAGTCACTGTGCGTTTCGACCTGCTGAATATTTCTAAGGTTATAACAACTCCAGAAAATTACAAAAAAAATGGTCGTTTTCCCATTTTTTTTGTAATAAGTAGGACTAATCGTAAGTAAACAGACAACATTCCAAAGGACCATCTATTATTCTACTCATTTACACTTAGAACTTTTACACAACGTTTGGTGTATGGAAAGGTAAAGAAATTCTCCTGGAGCCCATGTGTTATCCCGGCCGTTTGTTAAGCTCCCGAATTATGTGGAGCCCGTGGGAGCCTTACGTTGTGAAACACAAAACAAGTTTCATTTTTTTTATCCGAAAATGAAAGTCTCTTGTACCTGCACTTCGATGGAAGGTCTTGAGAAGTTGGTAGGTAAGTACCTACCACAGAGCAAATGGTACCTACCTAACTAAATTATTTCAACAGTCGACGAGTGAGGAATTATTTTCTACACTTCTGGACACATCTATTGGCCCACCTTAGAGTTTAGGTTTCGATGGCCCCTACCGAAATATGATTGCTAGATTGAACAAAAACTGTTGATGCAGTTTTAAACCTGATACATTTTACCATCTTTTTCAATCGTATTGTTTTAAATTTGAATTCAGAATACCATACGACATGGAGCTACGGCCAATAAGTCGGATATGCGCCTTGTTAAAGGCAATTGATTTTTGAATAAAAAACATGTTTTATCAAATAAAGGTTTAATTTAATAACGCGTGTTGCCTCCATGGGCATCTACCACAGCTCTCATACGATTAGGCATAGAGTTTATCAACCGCTCTATGAAATTTTGAGGGATCATCTCCCATTCCTCTTCTATGGCAGTTTTCAACTCCTGCATCGTCTGGGCAACTGACTGACGAGCCCTAATACGTCTTTTTAGCTTGTCCCACATGTGCTCAATGGGGTTCATGTCTGGGCTTCTGGCTGGCCAGTCCATAACTGTGATATTCACATCCCGAAGATATTCCCTGACGATGCCGGCCGCATGGGCTCTTGCATTATCATGCATAAAAAGGAAATTTGCGCTCACATAGTCCGCGTATGGTATCACGTGAGGTTCTAAGCACTCACGAATGTACCTTTCAGCATTTAATGTTGGCAGCCGTGGTCCTGTAACAACCTCAAGTTGAGTTTTGCCGCTCGCGGATATACCGCCCCAGACAGTCCATGAGCCACCGCCATAAGCAACCCTCTCTTCAAAGCAGCATTGTGCGAAACGCTCTCCCTTACGTCGGTAGACCTTCTTCCTTCCATCATTGCCATGTAACACAATTTTAGACTCATCAGAAAAGAGTACACGGCTCCAATCTTGCTGTGTCTAATTTAAATGACTGCGTGCGAAATGAAGGCGCGCTGTTCGGTGGGCTCGCGTTAGTTTGGGCCCATTAGCTGGCTTGTGTAGTACCATATCGCGTTCTTTTAACTTTCTCCGAACAGTTCGAGCGCTCACAGATACTCCGTGGAAGTCGCGAATTTGTTTTTGTATCTCAATGGTGGTAAGGTGACGATTTCTCAAGCTGGTCGTCACGATGGATCGGTCCTGCCTTTCAGTTGTGACCCGAGATCGTGGCCTTCCTTGGCGACGAACAAAGCCGCCAGTCTCTAGGTACCTCCGATAAACATTTCGGACCGCAGATCGACTTAAATTAAGTTGAGCACTCACGTTTCTTTGGCTGTGTCCGGCCTGAATAAGTGCCACAGCTTGGGCGGCGACTTCAGGTGAAGTATCCATAGATTATTGATAGAACCTCACCTTAATGTTAAGAATAAGTAATGCTTGTTGCAAAACCAAAGATATCAATCACTTTTTCAAGAATTAAATCCAAGTAAACCAATAAAACCAAGTTTTCTTAGTATTCGATTGTTTGATATCAACAAAAAGGCTCCAAATTGTCTTTTGTTTCTTTAAATTCTGTGTTCGAAATTCAAAAAAAGACTATTGAATGAAATTGTGAATGTGCCAGGTTCAAAACTGCATAAAAACTTTTTGCTCGACCTAATATAAAATTTTTGCTAGGACGAAACGAAACTGAAAATACAAGGTGGGCCAATAGATGTGTCCAGAAGTGTATAAATAATGTAGTTTTTCTTTAATATTTAAGTAAAATGTCATGTTAATAATATTCTTCGTAATACTCAGAAATCTTCCGTTCAAAAACAAGTCTATTGATTCTTCCCTTTACATTTAAAGACAACTTGTATTAACATGTTTATCAAATACAAACAATGACGCGGCGTTATCACGGCGGACTAATACAAATAGCTCAATTAATCGAGGTTGTTGTGTTTGGAACATCGCGCAACTAACGAACGGATGCGTCATCTGTCCACCGTAACTATGTCACGTTCAAAATTGCTTGTTCGGATTATTTATTTAAACTTTATTGCCACAATTACAAAAATGGACAAAAGGCGGACTTAACGCTAAAAGCATTCTCTGCCAGTCAACCTTTAGGCATAAAGAAATGCACGAATGCGGCTATAATAATAAAAAAAAAGTGATTTACTTTAAACATACACCAGTAAAAGTAACTACATAAATATTTATTTAAAAATAAACCTAAATATACATGCATAGAATACATTTAAATATATTACTTATATAAACATTTATAATATATATATATATATATACATACACATACATAGACATAATTATTATTAACACCGTTTATAAAATATATTGATGATGAGACTATGAAGGGAAATTGTGAGTTAAACTTAACTAACGTTCTTAGCTTTCTAGGAGAAGTTCATGAATTTTCTTTTCGGATTCCTATTGTTTTCAATCGACTTCAAAAAGTAGGAGGTTTACAATTCGACAGTTTGTTAACGCGATTTCTTCGTGAATTCAGGGCCGGTAATCATAAGGGTATACACTATTAATACTGAGTTTTTTAAAAAAAACAAGAAAAGAAAGAATATTTAAAGTCAAATTAACATTTGGTCATAAGTCGGTACCATGCATGCTTTGATTATAATATATAATATTATATACCATTTATTTTCTCCTCACAAAAGGTCTAACAGTACATTAGGTAACTAACTTAATCAATACAAATACATAAACCTATTATTTGGAAGACTGATGCCCGTAAGGCGCTTTGCAGACGACGGGGCGGGGCGGGCTTTTTATTCGCGAAGCAATAAAGACCGCGTCTGCCCGTCGATGACTGCGGCTGCCCGCGCCGCGTACACAAAGCACGCGACGGGCAGAGGCAGTCAGTTCAGGACGTTCGTTCTAGTGAATAGTCCATCACTAAAAAGCGCGTGGCGTGGAGTGAGCTAGCCGCCCCGCGCCGCCGTCTGCGTTACTGCATATAAACTGGTTTGTATGATCCACGGCGGGCAGCCGCGGACATGCCGCGCCGCCACTGCCCGCCGGGCACCTGCAGCGCGGTCTTTCTGCCCTCTGTGTGCGTTTGGAGTATGGGATTCACTTTGTGCTATTATTCGCGGCGAAATTGACCGGCTCGCCCCGCCCCGTCGTCTGCAAAGCGCCTAAAAGGCAACTGCGAATAGCTACCTGACTAACAGGTCACCAGGCTCAGATTATGATACATAAACCAAACGTGTATTGCATATCTTAATGGAAAATTTAATATCTACTCCAAATTTGAAAAATACATTGTCAGAGAGAAAAAAATTACATGTAATCTAAGAAGTGCTTTAATTACACTGCAGACTACATTGACAAAATTATAAGTAAGGTGATAGTATATTAAACGTAATACACAAAAATATTTATTATACCTTTGAGAAACCAAACAAAGAATCCCAAGTCCAGAAGGCAGCTATCACCATAACCGACCATAAAATTAGAATAGCACTTTGTGAGTTAGGAAAAGACTGAACAAATTATATATATTTATAATATATAGATAGGTTAAACGCTAACATTATTGCATTTTTAAGTGGCACAAAACTAC